GCGCCCGCTCCGTGGCCTCCAAAGCGCAGCCCTGGGCTGCCCTTCCCAAGGTTTCTCCCTGTGGAGAGGTGTATCAGCGTGCGCCAGCAGTGCCGCTTGTGCATGGAAATGCCCCAATCTCAGCTTAAACGCCCCAAAATTAGGAGATTTGAAGCAAAAAGCAAGCAGAGGCGGGACGGCCCCGCGACGCTCCCGCTCGTTAGCAGCGCGCGCGATCCGCAGCATCGATCCGCCCGCCGGCGAGAATTCCCGGGCGCAGCCATCCATCGGCTGCGTGCTGCAGCGGCGCAGCCACGTGAGCTGCCCGGCCCCCGCCAGGCCTCGTTAGCCCCTTCACCGAGCCACCTAATGACCTTCCGGACACACTCGCTTGAGGCTTCCTTAAGGGCCATCCCGCCGCAGCCGTGGCCACGAGCCCGTGTCCRCCCGCGCCCGGCCACCGAGTCTGGGTGCAGGGTCAGCAGAGACCAGAGCCCTTCCCGTCTCCGCTTCTCCTTTCCTTGCACCGCGAGGAATTTTGGTGCAGRAGGGAGGCTCCAGGCTCGCGCCACCCCTGGTTTTGCCTGTGCTCTTATCCCTTGCAGCCGGCCTTGCTGTTCCCGGGCAGGGAGGCTGCTCCGTGGAGGCGGCAGCTCCCTGCTCTGCACCCAGCGGAGCAGCCGGTGCTGTCCGGAGGCGCTGGGGATGCGGAGCCCATCCCGCTGCGCTCGTCGGCCCGAGATCCACCYGCACTGGGAAGGGCGGTGCGGGGAGGAGCGGCAGAACGGAGCGATCCGGTCGGGATGCGCAGCGCTTCCCGATGCGCCCGCCACGCTGCCCAGCCGGGTGACGCTTGGAGAAGCGGCCCACGGCTCCGTGCAGCAGAACGGCGTCACCCGCCACGTGTCACCCAGCTGGAGAACCCAGTGCCATCTTCGGGGCACAGGGACCCGGCCCCCGGCTCCTGCGCCCCTTCTGACCCACCCACAGCTCCAGAGAGCCCGGAAAAGGCACCAAAAGGCAGCTCCAGCTCAGAGCACGACGCCAGCAGCCCTCAAATCCTTTCCAAATCCCAACTCCTTTCCCTCCAAGAGCGAGGACAAGCAAAGCCTTCGAGCTCCAGGAGRCAGGGCTCATTTTGCAGACTGGAATTTGGGGGCAATCTTGCCCTGCTTGGCTGCAACGTGCCCGGGGGGATCCTTTCTGCAGCCCCCATCCCCACCAAAGAGCCCCGTCACCGCCTGAACACGSGGCCCTTCCCGCTCCAGCACAGCCTTCTCTGATCATAAATTAGCAATACTTGTGTGCGCTCGCTCAGAGCTTTTTCTCTCTTCCCCCTCTCCAGGTTTTCCGCATCCTACAGAAACGGAAGATCCAGGCTCCGACTGCTTATTTTAAAAGGCGCCGATCAATCAGGGCTGGGAGCGGGGTGGCCGGCCCGCCAACGCACCGGCTGCTGCCTCTYGCGTCCCCCCCACCGGGACCCTCTGCTCCGGGGGGCCACGGGTGGCCTGATCCCCGTGGGAAAAAGACTGGAATCACCTGGGAAAGGCCAAGAGGGGAGCAGGGAAGGAGGGTCCTGCAAGGGAAGGGGGGAGCCCTGAGGCCGTGGTGACGGGCTCCCATCCCAAGCTGCTCGTCACGCAGCTTTGCGCCGTCTCGCTCCGGAGCTGCCAGATGCCGGAGCGCCAGGAAAGCTCCGGCAAGCGCTGGAGACCTGCGGCCAGCTGCGAGGAGCAGAAAGGGCTTTTACAGAYTATTTATATATTAAACAGCCAAGGCTTGAGGGTGGGGGAATATGAGAAAGGAGGGGGGAAAAAAATGTGTTTTCTCATTTCTCACCGTTTTTATCCCAGGATAACGCACCATCTGTGCTGCCCATGCAGCTCTGACCTAGGGAATCCCAGCGCTCCCGCAGCCTTCAGAAAGCCGGGACAAATCTGGGAGCTGAGAAGCACCATGGGCCGCACCAGGTGGCCGGGATTAATTAGCCTTGTTGAGATTAGGGTCACGCACCCTGCAGGAGCCCAAAGGGGCGACCAGGATTACTCCATATGGTGCAAAAACAGGTGGGAATGGGGTTGTTGTGATGGAGCGCCTGGCCCCCCGGGGACGCGGCCACGTGGGGTCCTGCCCTGACGCCGGGTGATGGGCGCTCTGGAGGGGCTGCACAGGCAGCCGCCCCCACGGTCACACACGAAGAGCCCAGCGGTGCCCTGAGCCAGCAGCCTGTTCGGGGCTATAAATAAAGCTGTTATCATCCAGGCCGTGTGCTGAGCGAGCCGGGCTGCGGCGCTTCCTCCCCAGCAGCGTTTAAGGGTGATTTTGAGCCTGGAAAAGGCCAGATCAGCAGCATCCACAGGCCAGCAGCCCTTTTCCACCCCGCCATCGATTCTGCACGTGGCCAGTAAATGCCCTGGGCACAAACTGCCCTGGGGCGGCACCTGGGAGCGCTCCCTGGATAAGGGAAGCCCTGGATAACAAGGGGGAGCAGCTGCCCCAGACAAGGGAAGAGGCTCCTTTTCTCCCTGTTCCYGGCTTTGATGCCTGCTGGGATGAAGCAGGGGGGTCCGTATGGAGACGTTTCTCCCAGAGAGCGGCAAGGTGGGGAGCTGGCGCGAGCCGGGGCGCTCGCTGCGCCGACGGCTGCTGGAGCCAAGCAATCAATATGTGCAAATCCAGCCCTGGCTGGAAGGTGACCTTGAGCAGGCGAGACAGGCGAGGAGGAGGAGGAGGAGGAGGAGGAGAGCTGCATGCATTACCCAGGGAGGAGGTTCCTGCAAGGGCTGCGAGGAAGGAGAGGGACGGACAGGGCACCATCCGCATGCTGGGGACAGGGCAGCTGCAAAGGGGCAGGGGTGGCAAGGGGGGAGCCAAGTGCCTTGGGTTCACCCGTTGCTCCATGCCCCCTGGCCAGCGAGTCTGCAGCTCCCTGTGCCAGCAGAGTCTGCAGCGCCTGTCCCTGCGCTGGCGTCCTCGGGGTGGCTCTCGCTTTGCAGACAYCCCAGGCTGGGGGAGATGCTCGGCCCTTGCACAGGCTGCTGCAAGGAAGTGCGTGTGCCCCAGCGGGTCACAAGTGCACGGGAGGCTGCACTGCCCCTGTCCCAGCAGCCGCTCGCAGCCAGCGCCTGCAGTGACCCTGTCCCGTGTCCCCTGTGGGCAGAGCCGCAGATGTCACCTCAGGGAGAAGAGCCAGGAGCTGCTCRGCCAAGGAGCGGGCACCAGGACACGCTGCAGGGCACCGCACTGTCCCCAGCACAGGGAAGGAGCTGGCACAGTGCAGGCATCCACATCCCACCCCTCTTCCCCATGGATGCAGAAGGGATCAGAGAGAAGGGAACTGAACCCTTCAGCATGAGCAGCTGCTTCCCCAGGGACACCCCCAGGCTGCCCTCACTCTCCCCAGCCCAAACCCTTCTCCTCCTGCAGCTCCTTTAATCCCCCCCACCCAGCACGCAAGGAACAGCTGTGCCGGGGCTTCCCGCTGCTCCGTGCTCCCATGTGCCCACGGAGCGAGAATCCAGCAGCAGCGGCAGGGAAGAGTCCGGAGCTGGGGTCTGGCATTGCCAGGCACTCCGTCTTGCCATCTAGCGGGATGCAGGCGAAGGACGGGGAGAGCTGGCTGCCTCCCACGGCTCCGTCTCATCCCGCAGGAGCAACCGGGATCCCTGGGGCTGAAGGAGCGTCAGGAGGATGGATGGTGCAGAAAGGGAGAGAGATGGAGGGAGAGAGGCAGGGAATAGGTATATACCACCGCTCCAAGGATGGCATGACAAGAAGGCCGATAAATCCTGCAAGAAAGGCTGGACCAGGGCAAAACCGCTTTCTCCGTTGCCTTAGGCCCTGCCTGCTGGGCGAGCAGAGCCGAGCAGCCCCGCTCCGGGCACTGCCCGAGCCAGGCGGGCACGGGCGGCAGCTCCAGCCTCGCACGCGATTTGCAAGCGCGGGAAGTTCCTCCCCGTGCTGCTGGGTGCCAAGGGCCCGTGTCCCCGGCGCGGGGTGGCACGTGCCAGGGCAGTGCGGGGTGGCACGTGCCAGGGCAGTGCGGGGTGGCACGTGCCAGGGCGGCCGCGCGGCAGCGGCGGTTGCAGCGCGCCCTCCGAGGAGGAGCTGCCTCCTCTTGCAAGGTTTTCTCGAGCCGCCTTTGCCTCCGCGAGCCTGGAGCACGTGGGCTGAGCTCAGTGGTTTCAGTTCGGCATTCTGGATTCTCCAGGGATGTGTCATCCCTCTCGCAGTTCGCATGTTTGTTGCACGTGTATAAAAATACAGTGCATGAATACATTAGATCTAAAATATCCTCCCCACTGGACAGCTCTTGAAGGCTGGGATGATAGGAAGCGTTTTAGCTGCCTCCGAAGGGAAAGCAGCTCTTTCTGCTGGCTCTAGGGACACTGGGCTCCACGCAGCCTTTGCTGTGGCCAAGGAGGCCCAAACCACGGCGGACAGGACCCCCTTGGGCAGAGCTAATGGTGGGACCTTGGGCAGCCAGCAAGTGCAGTGCCGGACTCCAAGGTGGGATCAGGGATGGGGCTGCAGCCAGGACTCCCGGTCCCCTGTGTCGGGATMTCCTGTTGCGTCCTCTTTGGAGGCTGGTGGCAGCGTGTGCTGATGCTCCAGCTGTGGCTACAGCTCACATCTGGACGTCAAGTGCTCTTCTGGAGCGACAGAAACCCTGCTAAGGGGACGGGGAGGGCAGAGGGGACAGCCCGGTCATGCAGATCAAACCTCGTGTGGCCAAAGTGTCGCCTCTCTGCAGCAGCAAACCTCATCCTGGCCCAGCAAATCCCAAGCACAAGCACAGATGGGTCTTGCCCAGTCTCCTGGTGCACCAAGGCCAGGAATGAGTGGGAATACACGGAAGCCCCCGTCCGTGCTAGCCCAGGACCACGTACCAACCACTCGCAACCTGCTCGAGGGCTTCTTGCTGGCTAGAAGGGCACAAATATTGAAATTCTGGGGTTTATTAGAGTGACCTATAGACCGCGACCATCTCGTCCTGCGTCCGCGAYGCAGCCCCGGGCTCAGTGGAAGCGGCCGGTGGGCAGGCGGGGCAGGCAGAAATAGGCGTTGGGGAAGAGGCTGAGGTTGATGGGGTTGCCGTCGAGGCGAATGTCCTCGAGCGGCCGGCGGACGTGGCCRTGGTGGCGGCTGTCGCAGAACGTGTCCTCCTGCAGGCTCCGGATGTTGTTGTTCTGGTGCCGGGGGCAAAGCACAAAGTCGGGTTTGGAGGAGGAGGAGGAGGAAGGGTGGCATCCCTGCTCTCTGCACGACTCACGACTCACACGCAGGTTCTGCACCCAGGGAGGGCAGTGGGGGGGAAATARGGAGTGCAGGGAGGTCCCGGGAGGCCCGGGAGGGGTGATGTCTCTAGGAGACTCCACACRTGGTTGCAGGGAGGGATGTTCCGGGGGGCCCAGGCGCTCCCACCTGCAGGTGCAGGGAGCGCAGGCTCTGTGGCAGCGGCGCYGGGATGGAGTCCAGCTCGTTGTCGGACAGATGCAGGAACTGCAGCTGCGTCAGGTCCTGCGGGGACGCAGAGAGACGCCRCGCTCAGGGACACCCCGACCTCCCCCCGCCCCGTCCCGCGCACCCCTCCATGCACCCGCCTGGCGCTCGAAACTGCCGGGATTCATCCCGCCGCCTCCCTGCGGTGCATTAGGAACAGCCGGGGCGGGAGATGCCCAGCACCCACCCGGAATGCGTCGGGCCGGAGCCCGGCGCTGGGGATCCTGTTGAGACGGGCGTCCAGCCGCACGATGCTGCGGGGCAGCTCGGGCAGCGCCGTGAGCCGGTTCCCGGGCAGCAGGAGCTCCCGCAGCTCCGGCAGCAGCCGGAAAGCGTCCGCGTCTGCCCGCGAGATGGAGTTGCTGGTCAGGTCTATGCGCTTGAGCTGCGCTGGTGGACGGACGGGGAGACGGGGAGGGGGTGACTGGGGCTGCAGCAGCCTCGTAACCCGCCACGGACCCGTGCACGGCATGCGGGAGAGGCGGGAGCTCCCGYGAGCCCTGCTCCATGCAGCATCCCGGCTCCGGCTGCCCCTCGGCTGCCGCGAGCGGGTGCCGTGGACGTACCGAGCCCCGCGAAGTCGGCGGCTCGCACGTGGCCGATGCGGTTGAAGCGGGCGTAGAGGTAGGCGGTGTGCGGCGGCAGCGGCGGCACGCGCTCCAGCCCCGCGTCGTCGCAGTACGCCGACGTGCCGAGGCAGAGGCAGCGGCGGCAGCCCGCCGGCCCTGCGGGCAGCGCTGCCGTCAGCGCCCCGCGCCGCTCCCGCCTGCATCCCGCGCCTCCGGACGGAGCCAGGCAGGCAGGTTTGCGCGGAGCTAAACCTCCCCCTGCCCGTYGCGCGGGCGGGAGCGGCCCCGGGGGCTGCGGAGGGAGCAGCGGGATGTGGGTCCGTGTCCCCCGCGCCGCTCCCGGCGCCCACGAGGCTCCGCATCCATTAGCGGGGGAAGTTCAAAGCAGAAAGGCAACAATTTCCCTCCCACTTAATTTGTCCCAGTCCAACATGACAGAAGATGAATAAAAGATATTTATCCCTCGCAACAGGGTTTTAATTGTCACTAATCTAATTGCTACTCTAGCTGACTGGCGCAACGTCTCTGCTCATTAAGGCACCGTGGCTTTGCCGGGGCTGCCGCACTCTCGCTTCCCGGAGCAATTCCCGGGAAAGGCTTCCSCCCCAGGTCTCCGGGACGCTCCTGTTCCCTCCCTGCCACCCGGAGGTTTTTGGTGGCTCCTGGGAATGAGTCGCCCCTTTTGGGGGGGTCTGAGCCCCACTCACCGCCCGTGGTGACGGGCTCCTGGGGACCCGCGTGGCTGCTGGGGGAAGGCGGMTGCAGCTCCAGCGTCTCGGCCGTGGTGCCCGGGTCTGGGGCAGCTTCCCGAGCCTTGGAAAGGGGAGCCAGAGTCCCCACCTCAATCTGCAAGGAGAAGAGTGAGGGCTGCCCCGGAGAGGTCSTGCCACCCCTCCTGTCCTTCACCTATCCAGGAGCCATCCAGGGACCCCGTGAAGCATCCAGGAGCACCAGGAAAGTGGCCCTGGGAAAGACAGTTCCTGCTTGAACACCTCTCCTGAGCCGGGGTTTGGGATTTGCCCATCCACRGGGAGACAGGATGTATCATGTCCCCAGTGTCCTCTGGTCCCTCCCCGAGATCTCCTGCAATGACGCTCCATGCACCAACAATGATGCCAGTCCCCAGGTTGGGAGGGAAGAGGGACCTGCAGGAGCGCTGGGGGCTTGGAAATCTGCCACCGGAGAGGCGGGGGGACAAGGGACCTGGGTCCCTGAGCCAGGACAGGGGACACAGGGTGGGCTCAGGGCTCCAGCCCCATTCCCACYATGGGCAGCACCTCCACCTCCATCCCGCAGGATGCTCCCGGGATGCCGCCCTGTGCCTGGCGCCCTCCCGCTCCCCACTCACCTTGGGAGCCAGGTCGCCGTAGTCGTAAAGCTCCTCGTAGTTGCTCAGATCGACCATCTCGCCGTAGTTGTCCAGCGGGAGGTCGTAGTTGTCCAGATCCAGGTTTTCGTARACCGCGAGCTCATCCCCGACCTTCTCCCCCTTCCCTGTGCCCTCGTCGGCCAGCACTGCCCACGTGGCGCCGAGCAGCAGGCTGGCAATGCCCAGCCGGGCCAGGCGCCCCATCCTGCTCCTGCATGGAGAGTGGGATGGCCACGGGATCCCTTCCCAAGGCGGGAAGACCCGGATCGACCCGGAATGGAGCATCCCTCCAGCTCCCGCCTCGGAGCCCCGCGTGCCTCGTGCCCAGCGCTCACCCCGGGCAGCGCCGAAGCTCCGAGGGTGCCGGGGGAAGCGGGCACGGAGGTTCCCGYGCGTCCTGCTCGGCAGCTCCCGCYGCAGCGGCCGCCCGAGGATTTAAGGGGCGAGCGGAGGGCAGGGCCATTGGGGGGGGGACGGGGGGGCCTGGCCCAGCCGGCTGCTGCAGGGGGAGGGGGACGCTGCCATTCAGGCCGCTGGCACCCCGCTGTCCCCAGCGCTGTCCCCTGCGTGTCCCCACGGCGGCTTTAGTCCGGGGGACGGGGCTTGCRTGTAGGGCTGCCAGGGATGGGACGCGGGAGGGGATGGCATGGGATGGCCTGGCGCGGACAGGCCAGGCTCATGTACTCCCTGCCTGGTGTCCCATGGGTGACAGGGGACACCCTCGAGGGGTTTCCGTTTGCACCATCCCCACAGATTGATGCAAAACCCTCCCCTCTGCGTTTGGGGTCTCCGGGATCTCCCCCTTCCCCCCGGGGATCCCACCAGGATGAGCAGGGTGGGCGCGAGGCCCCGTTGGGCTCCTGCTGGGGGTGGGAGAGCCASGTGCGCGGCCGCCCACGGCCACGGGGATGTGCCGGGCTGCCCCCGCGCGCCACGCGTGCCCACGTGCCGGCATTGCCCACGTCACCCCGCAAAGTGCCACGGGCCACCCCGGCGGCTGTGGCACCCCCCTGCAAACCACCACCGACCCTGGCCACCCCCCTGCAAACCGCCACTGTCCCCGGCCACTTCCTTGGCTGTGCCACCCCCCTGCAAAGCGTCACTGTCCCCAGCCACCCCCTAGCCCCGGCCAGGCGGCCCCCTGCCCGGGTGCGGAGCCAAGGGCCAGCGCTAATCCCTGCTAAGCCCCTCATTAGCGAGCGCTGCGGGACGCGGAGGTGACAGGGCAGCCCCGGCGGGGGGGGGTTGGCAGGAGGCCCCCCCTCCACCAGGAGGACAGACGTCAGTGCAGTGTGGCCCGAGGGACAGACAGCCTTTCCAACGCACCTCTGCTGCACTGGAGATGGAGCTGGCGTCTGTCCCCGTGCCAGCTCCGTCCCCGTGCCAGCTCCATCCCCATCCGTCCCCAAACCCTTCGGGAGCCCCATCACTGTGGGGCAGTGAGACCTTTGCTGTGGGGGGGTCACCAGCTGCCCAGGGGCTTCATTTCAGCCACAGTTCCTCACCCAGCAGCTATTTATCACCTTGCAAAACRCCACGATCCCAGTGCTGAGATCCCCCGGGGCACAGGAGGCTCCTGCCGGGGAGCCCGCGAGCGAGGGCACCCCTGGGAGCACGCGGGCCATGCACCCGTCCCAAAACACGGAGAAGTCCTCGTGCAGGGAGCAGCCCGAGCGAGCCGCCCGCGTCCGCTCCGCGCATCCCCCGGGAACGTGCCCACTCCGCGCATCCCCCCGGAACGGCGAGCGGAGCCCGCGCGTTCGCACCCGTGCCCACGGCCGCCCGCCCCGTCGCTGACTCACGCGGGGCCGGCGAGTTGGGGGCTGCGAGGGGGGATGCGGCCGCCTACACCCGCTCTGCTTGTGCCAATCCCCCACCCCGGGCACCGGCCTGGCTCCCTCCGAGGCCACCGGGCATCACCCCCCCAGCCCGGCCTCGGCACCCCCAAAAGCTCCGGCTGAGGATGAGGATGGGCCCCGGCGCAGCGGGGAGGAAGGCGGTGAGAGGCGGCAGAGAAGCAGCTCTGAGCTCAGCTCCGCGTCCCTTTTGAGTCATTTTATTTTCACCACTGCAGAGAGGAGGAGTGAAAATACCATTAAGTTGCAATCAGTCAGGAGCTACGTGGGTCTATAGATGTATCTGTACAGTCTACCAGTATATATACACATTATATATAAATATATACATAGGATCTCCGGGTTTAAGGCTGAAACCTGTGCCACCCAACAAAGCCAAGGGAGGAAGGGCTGCAGGAGGGACTTGGCCCCAAACTGCCACCCTTACCTTGGCACGAGGGATGACGGATCCCGGAGGGACGGGGCAGCTCTGGTGCTTTCCACGGGCTCYGGGCAGGTTCCCGCATCCGCTACCATCTCCCAGAGCCCGGCCGCCCTTATCCCACCAGGCTCGAGTTTGGTGGCTGAACACAAAGGAGGCAGCTGCTCCTTTAATTGCTTTAATGCTTAGTGCAGGTGGATTGATTTCTTTCCTTTTTTTTTTCTTTCTTTTTTTTTCCTCCCTCTAATGCTCAGCTTTTAATCTAAATCCTAAGAATCAGGAAGGAAGGAAAAAAAAAAAAACGAAAAAACAAATAATCCCCCCCTAAACCCGGACGCCCTATATATGCAGGTACAGCTATCAAAGAGGGAAGCGATATATGCGGAAAGGGGGAGGAGAGGGAATAAAAACAGGCTTTTCCAAGGGAAGATTTACTCCTCTTTTTTTTCTTCATTTTCTTCAAAGTCAAACTCGGACATACGTCCTTGCTCCAAGAAAGTACCTGGGAGTGAAACTTCAGGAGGCGAGTGATAAAGAGACAGGGGTTGGGAGAGCAGAGTGGAGATTTCCCGGCCCTGGGAATACCCGGATTTGCACCCAGCGCCTSGCTCAGCATCCGGCACCGGGACCTAAGTGCAAGGGTGAGATTGGCACCTGCATTGGGACCTGCTGCCGTTGGGATTTCGGATGGAGCCGGGAGCTGTGGAGGGGACGTGGAGTGATGCCCTGTGGCCGGGAGGGGACAGAGGCAGGAGCAGAGCCAGACCAGCCCGTGCAGCTGGTGGGGGGAAGAAAACAGAGAGCAGGAGCAGGCAGAAGGGCTGGTTGGGTCCTGCACAGGAGGGAAACTGCTCTGGGAAAAGTGGGATGAGCTCTTCCCAGAGCAGCAAATGCCGGCTCCGGCTGCGAATCCGGAGGCTTTTCCCCATCAACACCCAATAACCCCAGCCCAAAGCTCGGGAGCGACCCCAGGGCAATGTCCCTTCGAGGGGAGCCAGCGGGAGGAGCAGGGGCGCCCGGCGGACCCCGGGACGCGGCTCCGGCCGCGAGGGGTCGTTGCCGGCCCTGCCGCGGGTCGCCTCGTCGCATGGCCCCGGGACAGCCCTGCGGCACCCCTGGCACCGGCAGCTCATCCCGGAGCGGGGCAGAGCCTCTTGGAGACCCCTGGGTCCTGCAGCAAGTCACGAAGGGCCAAGTGACCCTCCGGTTTTGCCAAGTGACCCCCTTGTCCCCCCCAGCTCCGGGCAAGGGGGGAGGTTGTGCCCAGCCCCTTGCAGGATCTGCCCCTGGGCAGACTGAGCTCAGGGCAGAGCTCAGTTAGTCTGAGCTCTGATTTTTAAGCTTTCCTGCTTTGGCAACCGTGYTGGGAATGGCTGTGCAGCTCCCTCATCCGCTCCATCATGAAGTGCTTCCCGTGAGGACAAATCCCAAGCCTCTTCCCCATCTGGCCCCAGCTCCAGCCACGGCCGAGGGACAGGGCAGGGAGCAGGGATCGCCAGCCGGATACCAGGGTGCGGATGGCACCCATCCCACGCTACCCAGGTACCTGCCCTGGCCTGGGATGGTGCCAAGGCCACCAAGGAGGAGGAAATGCAGAGCGGAAGGAAAAGCAAGGTGGGAGAGGAAAGCAAAGAGGGTCCCAAGTGTCAGACGCTGTCAGGGCTCGAGTCTCTGTGCAAAGCCAGGTCCCAGGAGAGGTTTGGGGGCCAGGYGGGGTTAGAAGACCACAGACTGCAGGAGTCGGAAACACATCATGAGGTCCAGCGGGATGGGGGGCTTCAGGAGGTTCCCGTCGAGGCGCAGGTAGCGGAGCCGGGGCACGCTGTCCAGGTCCGAGGGCGAGAAGTCCTGGATGGACACCAGGGACGTGGGGCAGATCTGCGTGCCGTTGATCTCTGCAGGGAGGAGAGGCAAAGCGGGAGGCTCAGAGGGGAGCTTAACTCCTAAAGAGCTAGACTTAACTCGCTGTGCTCCTTCCAGGACCAGGATGCAGCCCTGGGGCCCCAACGAGAGGCGAAAGCTGCTTTGGTTCAGACTTTCAGGCACGCTCAGCCAAAGTAATGTGAGGAATATGTTATCTTTAGAGAGAGAAAAGAGACGATTCCAAACGCAAAATCATCCTAGCCTTCAAAAAGCATCACCAAAACACACTGCAGTGCTGTTAAGCTGAAGATAACCTTAATAATCCCCGATTGGGCTTGTTGTATGGCACCGAGTTTCCACGCGTTTCTCCCCATCACCAGGCCCACTTGGCAGAAAACAATGCTAGGGACTCTTCCGTTAATACCCAGCTCCAGAAATTACAACCTTATTAAAAAACAGGTGCAAAAAGATACCCGACAGCTGGGGTAAAACGCAGAGCTGGGGCAGGAGGTGCGTGGCCATGCGAGCATCTCCGTGGGAAAATCTAAGCAGGACCTTGTTATGGGTGTCCGTACCCTGAGGCCAGCTGCAGGCACAACCATAATGTCAGGATCCCGCTAGGCTACAGCTGGATATTTAAGCAAAATGCAGAGCAATTTGCATTTCATTCCCAGGTCATCATTTCCCCATGAACCAACTGCAGCTGCTTCCATCAGACAAGGAATTGGACTGTTTTGGTCATTTTTGCGCTGGCATCACGTCTTGCAGCGCTTGGCATCCAGGAGAAGGCTTCTTCCTCTCCCAGCTAACAGGGCAGTCCGGGACGGTGCCCTGTGAAGAGCCAGCTYGTTTGCACTGCAATTTTAAGGCTGCTCTTCAAGCATCGATTACTTTTGCACAGAAAACCACATAACATCACTGCAGGAAAAGCACAGCAGCCGCCGGCAGCCCCTGGGTAATGCCACTCATTGCTGGGCTCAGTGACCTGCCTGGTGACATCCTCCGGGGGGACCACCAGCTTGGCTGGCCCCCCAAACCCCGCTGCAACCCAAACCGACGCTGCT